TCCTTTCAAGTAACACAAAATCTGTTCCAAAGCTGCCCAATGTTTGACCGTTGGTGCAGACATGAACTGGCTAACAACACTTACCGCAAAAGTAATATCTGGACGAGTCACAATAAGGTAGTTTAATTTCCCAACTAACCTCCTGTATCTCTCTGGATCGTCAAAAGGATCACCACCATCTTTCATAAGATACACATTAGGAACCATTGGAGTACTGCAAGGTTTAGCTGTCAACTTTCCAGTTTCTGCAAGCAAGTCAAGAATGTACTTTCTCTGAGACAAAAGAATTCCCTTCTTGCTTCTATTTACTTCTACTCCCAAAAAGTATTTCAACTGGCCCAAGTCCTTTGTATGAAACCTAGTATGCAGAAAAGACTTGAGGGAAGAAATCCCAGCATAGTCACTTCCTATGATAACAATATCATCAACATATACAACGAGGAGAATAGTGTCAGCTACTGATTTCCGATAGAAGACTAAGTGATCGCACTTACTCATTTTCAACCCAAACTCCTGAACTTGCCAAACCGAGCTCGTGGACTCTGCTTCAAGCCATACAAAGACTTCTTCAAATGACAGACTTTCCCATACTCCCCCTGAGCAACAAAACCGGGTGGTTTCTTCATATACACTTCCTCCTGAAGATCACCATGAAGGAACGCATTCTTGATATATCCAACTGATGTAAAGGCCAATTCTCGGACGCAGCTAGAGAAATAAATAAGCGGACAGAAGTGAGTTTGGCAACCGGGGAGAAGGTGTCAGAATAATCCACCCCATAAGTCTGAGCATACCCTTTCGCCACAAGTCTGGCCTTAAGTCTTGCCACAGAACCATCTGGATTAACTTTAACGGTAAAGACCCACTTGCATCCCACTGGTTCTTTCCCTTTGGTAAATCTACCAAATCCCATGTGTGGTTGTCCTCTAAAGCATGTATTTCCTCAAGCATTGCATCAGACCATCCGGGATTATTCAAAGCCTCCTTCACTGTTTTGGGTACGGAGATGGAGTCTAGAGAAGCAATCATAGATCTAGACGTATAGGATAAGTGGTCATAGGAAACAAAGTTAGCAACAGAATATGTCGATTTGCAACTACGTGTACCTTTGCGAAAAGCAATAGGAAGATCAAGGTTATCTGGAGGATCAAGCAAAGAAGAATCAGATGATGCAAGAACTAGTGCGGGACGTGTATCATTTGTCTATCGCCTCCACGAATAAACTTGAGCAATTGGAGGTCTTGCTGGAGCAGGTACTGAAGGCATAACAGTCGATTGGTGCTCAATAGAAGAACTAGGAGATCGAAGAGTATCATCTAATTGTTCTGTCAAAGTACAGGTAACCTGATATACTAGCCACTCATCTTCCTCCCCCCGGCTTGTATAAATGGGAGGTGCATAGAAGAATGGTGTAGTCTCTGAAAATACCACATCAGTTGACACTAAATATTTGCCAAGCTCAGTAGAATAACATCGATACCCCTTCTGAAGGCGAGAATAGCCCAGGAAAACACACTTCACAGCCTTGGGATCCAACTTGGTAAGAGATGATCAAACATCTCGAACATAACATGTGCTTCCAAACACCTTAGGTTCCACCGGAAATAATGACTTACTCGGAAAAAGAACACTATAAGGCACATTACCATCGAGTACACTAGATGGCATGCGATTAATCAAAAAACAAGCCGTAGAAACCGCATCAGCCCATAACTGTTTAGGAACCTTCATTTGGAACAAAAGTGCTCGAGCTGTCTCAAGTAGATGCCGATTCTTCCTCTCAGCAACTCCATTTTGAGAGGGTGTATCAACACATGAAGACTGATGTAATATACCATATTGTCTCATGTAGGACTGAAATAACTCTGACATGTATTCTTTAGCGTTATCACTCCTCAAAGTATGTACTGAAGCATTGAATTGAGTTTTGACTTCAGCACAAAAGGCAGAAAAATGAGTAAACACTTCAGAGCGGCTCTTCATAAAGTAAATCCAAGTCATTCGAGAATAATCATCTATAAAAGTGACAAAATACTTATGCCCAGTTTTAGAAACAACCGGACATGGTCCCCAAACATTAGAATGGACCGACTCAAAAGCTGACTCAGCTCGCGTATTAACTCTTGGACTTAACGAGATGCGATGGTGTTTTGCAAATCGACCTGACTCACAATCCAATGATGAAATATTCTGAAATTGAGAACAGAACTTCTTTAACAAAGGCAAAGAGGGATGTCCAAGTCGACAATGTGCTTCAAAAGGAGATACGATACTAGAGCATGCAACAGACCGTGGCTCCCATTCATCAAGAATGTACAGATCACCAAATATATATCCTTTACCAATAACCTGCATCGTCTTAAGATCTAAAAACAAACAATGATTGGGAAAGAATGCAACACAACAATTAAGGTCTTTGGTAATTTTACTAACAGAAATCAAGTTAAAGGCCAAGTTTGGTAGACTTAATACGGATGGCAGGGTAATAGAGGAAGTTGGTTTAACAGTCCCAGATCCAACACTGCTACAAGTTGATCCATCCGCTATAGTAACCGGAAAGGGTGCTTTATGTGAGCGAAAGCTAGAAAAAATATTTGGATTACCTGTCATGTGATTTGTAGCACCAGAATCGATCACCCATTTATTGGAAGAGGTGATAAGACATGTTTTATCTGACCCAGCAAAGGCAGTAACTGAAGAAGATTCCTTAACTGATTTATGATATTGAAGGAATTTTAGAAACTCATCCGAAACCAAGATTGTTGGACTAGGAGTTGTTGCATTATTATTCTTTACCATCATTTTTTTTTCTTTCAATAACAAACTGATTAAACTAACAGAGGTCCCTGAAGCTAAAAGATACTCAAACAGATCCTGGTAGATACGAAATCAACAATCTATTGAACAAGATTCAACTTTAATAATCCACTCAACCAAATCAAAGAACCAAACGAATTTGTCCCCAACTCAAACAAAATTAGAGACCAACAAAGTTTCTGATAAGGAAAGACCCAACAGACAATATCAAGTCACTAATCAATCACCACACTGAGTCAAAATTAAAGATGCAAGCTTCTCACATAGGCAGCCTCCAAGAAAAATACCACAGAATTAAAGAAATCAAATAACCAATAAACCAAACTCAAATCTGACCAAACAAAGTGAGAATAAGATCTGGTCTGAGGTTGTTCTTTGCCAAAATGTGGTTCTATGATCAGAGAACCACCACAAGTCAACTGGAAATGTCAAAAAGACCTCAGATTAGCTTCCGGCTCCGGCAGCGGATTCGACTCAACTCCTATACCATGTAAAATATAGAGACAATAGAGAAATCTCTCTTATGTTGTATTCAAGAAATAACAAGTATATACAAGTACATAGAGCCTTAACTATGGAAAGAATCAAAAAAGAAATCCTATAAATCTGCTGAGAATCCCTATAATTATGCTAGCTATGTATATTACATAAGATTATGTCTACACTCAGATTATGTCTACATTCATTATCTAACACTAGGAAAGTCATATATTTGGGTAATAGTCGAGATGAGGAGCTGACTCTTTCTAGAAAAAAACTTCGAATAAACCAACCTCTGAGACTCGAACCTCTTGCCTTCATTTGTTGAAAGTGATGTAACGAGGCTTCCAAGTTAAGGAGAATTAGGTTAGGATGTTACAATCCAAATCCGGAAGGCCTAACACAGCCATGATTCATACAAAATCCAAATATTTCTTCGCTGAATGCCTAGACAAAGATGGTAGTCATCTAACTACACCGAAACTAGTTAAAGGTCTTTAGCCATGGTTTTTCTCCAGATATTCCTTATGCATAGAACTTGAGATTTGAAACACTGTGACACTAGCATGAGGGCTGAACTGTCTCACAAGCCGATTTCTTTGCTTTGCTACCTTGGAGGAATTGGCAGAAATCTTAGAGTGTGTGCTAGGAGTCACTTGTAACAAGTGCTACAGGTCGACGATTAGGACTCTCTTGAACATTAACAACTTGCTCATATGGATAACAATTTTTTCAACATATTCGAGATCATGTTCTAATCAACACTTACCATATATCAAGAGAAAGATTTGGTGGCCAGGAATCTTAAGCTTGATATATGAGAATAATTTCCAAAAACATGAAGATACCTTTTTGAAAGAGAATTATAGCTTGTATTCACCGACATGCATCCACTTGGTAGACGACCATTTGTTCCCTTTAATCACAGGGCAACCACCTGGAATAAAGTTGTTAAGTTGCGCAGATAAAAGCTGTTAGAAAACCAAAATAAATTACCCCTCAAGGAATACTTAACTTCCATAATACATTCCATAACCAGTAGACTCCTTTGAGAAATTAAAGGAACAAATAAAAAACGCAAAACACTGACACAAGTTTCTATAGAAATCACAAAATATGATAAATCATGAACAAGGAAAATAATAACTGTATATGATAACTTATTCTTCAAGGCCAAAACCTTAGCAACATGACAAATTGATGTTGGATCTTGATATTCTACAAGAAGCACGACCACTTCAGTATGCAATTTCCAATATGTTCAGCTCTGTTACACAAACTACTACACTGCTGGATAAAATAGTCTTGACAATTATTTTGTTCTCATGATTAGTACTAACATATTCTAGCAAATAACTAGAGAAATGTCCCACACCACTGCCCAAGACAAGCAGAAACTGACCCAATTAACCTGTTTGCTACACGTAAACTTGCATCTTTTTCTTATAAGAGTTCTCATGGGGAAGGAAGGAAAGGGAAACAATTACATTAAAGAGTTTAAAGGTGTTAGTAATGGAATATTAAGGAGAAAACAATGTACCATGCAAACTTGACGGATCTAAAGAAGCATCAGGTCGCATGCTCCAGAAAAGCAAAGCATCACCCCTCTTTGGTTTGACGGAGAGGCCCCTTTTGGCACATTCTGACAGCTCGTTCCACCCAGGACTGGAGCTGAAGTTTCCTTTTGCTGCTGGGAAAACAGTCTCACCCCCTTCTTCTACATCTGATCTGCATATGCCCCAAAGAAATAAATAAAACAATCAATCACTGCATATTCAATATGCATATAACTTAGCAAAAATTCAGAACTTCCACCATATCTATTACATAATTATTGAGGAATTATAAATCTTACAGATACATGAGAAGAGTAGCTATACGTTGACCCCCATTTTTGGTGTTGAATTCATCAAGAAAGTAGTCAAAATGAGGCTCATACTTCTGTCCAACTTCATAGTGTAAAACTTGTAGCCCTTCTCCATGTTCTGTAAACAAGATTATCTAAATCAGGGAATTCACAAGGGAAGCAAACTATTATCACGACCATAACCAAGGACGGATGCACGTTTGCGTAGAAGCAATTTTCTTTTTCCATAAATAAACATTAGTGACTCTTAACAAATAAGAATAAAATCAAAGATCTCGTGTTATTTTGTGCTTTGAAGAGGAAAACCAAACTAGTAAGATCATATTTCGAAGAGCAAGCAAAAGAACAACCTAAAACTTCTCTAGCAGGACACTGTACTTTCTAAGTTCTGCAATTAATATGAATAAAATGGAACCTTAATATCCTAAATCTCCCTTGAGGTAAGCTTAACTATTTAAACCTTCAAATTACAACAACAACAACAACAACGACCCAGTATTATCCCACAAGTGGGGTCTGGGGAGGGTAATATGTATGCAGACCTTACCCCTACCCCGAAGGGTAGAGAGACTGTTTCCAGGAGACCCTCAGCTCAAAAAGGTAATAGGAGCCGATATATTAGTACCATAAAAATGCATAAAAATGCATAATAAACCTTCAAATTAAAGTAATTGAAAATCTTGAAAAACTAAACCGCAAGGATAACTACTTAAGATAATTTTAGGTTTAGAAATTACTTTTTAAAAGTTTTAGGAATACAACCATTGCGTCTTATAAAAGAAAAAAAAAAAGTACTTTATCAGAGTATGTTCCCATATATAATTTTCTAACAAGAACTTATGGATGAGAATGACAACAAAGAGTTGATACACTATGATTTTTGCATGGATTTAGTCCAGTCCTCTTACCTACAGGAATGAAAGTATAATCTGCTATCCTCTTCTCAATATTTCTGATAACTTTATCTCGTCCCCTCCTCAAAAACATTCCTGAACTTGTACGAACCCTGTTACATAATACTGTTACAACATCGATTCAATAGAAAAGGATATTCCCTCATCCATCCTATTTTAAATGACACTATTTAACACAAATTCAAAAATTTTGACTTGTGTATTTTTTAGTAGTGGAAAAAAGTAAGTAGCTGTTGAAATTTTAATTTGTTAAGAACTGAAGAATATAGTCCTTAGACCAAGCTACAAAAGAAAAATAAATAAAAGAAGAAAAAACTCATAATTTCTCGTTGTGGCTTAACTGGCCAGTTAATAAAAGTAAAGAAGTTAGCAGTACAAACCTGCTATCTTTACTCTGACCGGTCTTGCTATCAACAACTGTTGACTTCACCATGTGAGGTTTAGCTTGATTTATCAAGTATTCACATTCTTCCTTGGACTGTTGAAATGCAAACCACATGGTCAAAATAAAACTTGTCCATTTAACAATGTCTTAGCGAATCGCAAAAGAATGATGCACGTTATAATCAAATAATCTACGAGCAACTTTGTGAAATATAAATTGAGAAAATAGGCAGAAACACTGCCGAACACCTTCACTCCCCTCCGTTTTTTTAGGAAAATAGGAAACATGTAGAGGAAAAGAGGCATATGTAGGGGTGTGCATTCGATTTATCAATTCGATTTTGACTCTTATCGATAATTACTTATCGATTATCGATTTGTACATATGCTAATCCTTATCGTTTCAATAAGGTTTCGATTTCGATTTATCGATTTTTGGGGCTTATCGATTCAGTTATAAGAAAATTTGCGGGATTCCACGGAAAGTATATCGCTATAAACACGCCTAACTAATATGGACAAAAAGAAGCTAAAATAAGACGAACACCGTTTATAACACAAAAATTGTGTCAACAAGCACATGCAACGAGACTAAAGTAAGGATCAAATGTATGCCAACTAAAACCTGCGGATGCTTGAAATTGTAACAAAGGCACGGAGAGAGAGAGGGAGAAACGTACTATTGAAGTCGCCGGAGTACGCCAGAGTACGCCGGAGTCCGCCGGAGTTCACTTTCTCTGCTGGGTTTGCAGTTCGCGGGAGAGAGGGAGAAAGGTAAAAGCGGCGCTGAAGAATGGGTAGAGGAAATAATAGGGTTAGGGACTTAGGGTAAAGGAAAGGGTATTGTAGAATAAGGGTATATTTGTCTTTTTAGCCTATCTTATCGGTTTATCGATAATCCGATAACCGGAGAGGACAAAATCGAAATCGAAATCGATAACTCGATAAGGAAAATTTCGAAATCGAAATCGATAACTCGATAAGGAAAATTTCGAAATCGAAATCGATAAATTGATAATCCGATATCGATAAACCGATAACAAATAATCGATTCGATTTATCGATAAGCTGATTCGAATGCACACCCCTAGGCATATGTAGAAGTGCATACAAAGCACAAATTACTGATAAAAATCAATCAATCAAGTAATCAACTTCCTCACAGCCTCCAATTAGTTGGGTCGATTATATGAATACTCTGGAACCATTGTGCTTTATTTAAGTCCATTATATTCTAAAACAAAATAACTTACCTTTAATGCAAATTAGTGGTTCTAGAAAACTAAATGCTTTTTACTCTCACCTTAAATGAGCATACAAGTCTCCAGTCAAACACCAGAACTAATGTAATGTAACAACAAAACTAAGCCTTACCCTCACCTATATTGATCTTTGCATCCACTGTGTTCTGCTCGTAGCTAATGATTCAGTAGACAAGAATCAATTAAATGAAAAAAATCTAGCCAAAACTAGCTAAGATTATGGTCAATTAAAAAAAAATGCTAAAACTGAGAGCCTCACCAAGAAATTGTGGTAAATAAAAGCACGGGGCTCCCAAGATAGAATCTCCGTCCATTGATCCCCTCTTTTCCCCAGTCCATCGCCTTCCCCTCTGCAAAATAAATCTCTTTTCAGAAATACACTCCAACAGTTAAAACATACTCCATTTTGTTCATCATATATTTCATGAATTTAAGTTCTATGCACTGACGGTATTAAAAACATTTATACAATCAGGTAACTTACTAGGTGTTATTAGTTATTACAAGTAAATCTCTTGATAGCATTAATTGGTAACGTGGAAAAAAATTGTAACTAACCCACTATCACATGTTAAATTTCCTTCACATTATAAAAAATGAATTCTTTGCACAGTCTGTGTATACAACTTAAATCCTTATTTGAGTTTAATTTCTATGCAATTACAGTGTTAAAAAAATCACATAATCAGGTAACTTATTAGGTAATTACAAGTAAATCTCTAGATAAAGATTAATTAGTAATATGATAAAAANCCACCCCCTTTATCCTTAATGAACTAAAGGAAGACCTCTATGGAACTGGGACTATACGTTCAATTACCATCATGTAATAACTTCTGTTTGTGCTATCAATAAAAGCTCCTTTCATTAGCAAAAAAAAAAAAAAAAAAAAAAAAAAAAAAAAAAAAAAAAAACACAACACTTTACAGTGCTTATGATTTAAATCCTTATGTTGTCTTTATACTTCTGTTTTTTTCATGGCTAAATCTCAATTGATCGGCAGCAACAGTTAACAGATACGTACATATCTAAAGAGAGGCGCTTGAACTTGATGTGATCATGAGCAGAGGACGGCTCATCATCGGAACCGACCGGCAGATTAAAAATGCCGAGAGCGAGAAGCATTAGAAGTACAACTGTTAGCATTAAGAGCATCGAAAGTACTAAAACTACCGTTGATGATCTCTTTCCTTGATTCCGATTTAGCCTCCCCTTTGCCATTGCTTCACCGATATCGTTTCAAAAACCCTAGATTGATCAGTTAATTTAGCACTCGTTTACAAAATTGAAAAATAATTTCCGGCAATGGAAGCTGATTTTCCGGTAATACTTCGTCGCCCGGAAACTTGAGGTAGAGTGCCTGAGAACTGAGAAGATTGTGTAAAAGTCTTATTAAACGGTGAATTGAAATTTGAAAGAGGAATTTATATTTATAGTAATTTCAGATTATGCTGGAGGAAGGTGGGTGGGAAGTGGAGAAAAACTAAAAATAACGGTATACATAAAATGACAAATTAGTCCTTATTGTTGTTTTTCTAAGATAACCTGATTTGGGGCCAGTATTGGCATTTTGATTCAAAAGGGAGAAATAGCCCCAGGTTTTCGAAATGGAGCACACTGAATCTAGTTCTCTTTCTTTTTGTTTGCTTTATTCTTTCTTTCATTATATTTTGTCTGTTTTATTTTCCTTCTTACAAAACGAGACTGGTTCTTATAATATTTGTCAATGAAATAGATGACTTTAGACATAAAGTACTAGAAATTCCATTTACCAAAGTAGATGTTGGATTAAGGGGTAGAATTTATTATTAGGATTGTAAAAATTGTGAGATCCAATTCTAAAGCAAGACGTTGGACGCTTGGTGAAGACGGAAAAATGGTACACGGGCCTACACGAAACTTCTCTAGTAGTTTAAGGGTCTCAGCTATATGGCCTTTTAAGGTAGCTCAGTGCACTAAGGTCCTGCTATGCACAGGGTTCGGGGAAGGACCGGACCACAAAGGTCTATTGTACGCAGCCTTACCCTGCATTTCTGCGAAAGCTAATTTCCACGACTCAAACCCGTGACCTCCTAGCCACATGACAGCAACTTTAACATTAAGCTTATGAATATTAAACACACTAGGTCAAATCCATCTATCCAACCAAGTTCCAGAATTCTTCAAGAGTTTCTCATTCAAGGAATGCACAAGTACATTGAAGGCGAAAAGATTAATCAAACTTGATAAAATTACAAAGATTACATTGTATATCTCCATCCAGCTACACTTGCTAATGTTCTTGAACTCTCACTGTACATTGCATAACATCTGCAATCAGCATAGCCAGGTGTCATTCAACAGGGGAGAAAGAAGGCGAATGGGAGAAAGCATTAAATTTGACAGCAAACTTGAATAAAATCAAGATGGTGAAGTAACCTAGCCCACCAGTATATTGATTGTTAAACTCACGTAAATAAACTACAAAATAGTAACAGTTTTGCAGTGCCCACCCGACTTTTACCGAGGGGGGCTAAATTTTCATTTGTCAGCAATAAATTTTTTCTTGTTTGGACCAATTCATATGGCAGGGAATCTTGATTCTTAACAATGAAAAATTCAATTATTAAACAAGCCATATAACAAGGATAAGTATGCTCCTTCAAGAGAATGATAAAGCAGCAAGACGATTTTTAGTTATCGCAGGAAGAGAAAGATTTGAAACTACAATTAGCAACAAAGTTCAGAAGTGCAATCATACTACTCACATTATTAAAACCAAAAGAGAAAAAAGAGACGCAAATGGATCAAATAAATTTGAAACTTGGATGAGAGCATCAGTTAGCACCTCAATATTATCCTTACATCCAAGCTTGACTTCCATTCTAGTTCTCCATCTCATGAGGAAAGCCATATACTCCATACACAAAAAACTAAAGCTTTCTCCGTGTCAAATATCACCCTACATTCTCAATTTAGCTCTGCTAACTATGCAACAAAAAGTACAAATGCATATCAGCTATTAAGTTTGATTGCAAGTAAGACATACATTCAACAGAAAACATGTATTACAATAATGACAACAGTTCCAACTTCCAAATTTACGATTTAAAGTATGATAATGATACAGCAAATGCCAACCATCATGGACAGCTGCAAATTGCTAGCACTCAGACAAATCCATCATACTGGTGCACAAATAAGCAAGAACGTCACCATCTCTCTACTTCAAATTTATTAGTGCTTTTGGTTATGCATTTATATTCCAATGTAATGACATTCTACTAACTGTAACTTCCTGCAATATCAGCTTTATTTTAGTGATTGCAGTCCTAATAAACAATCTTGGTTTGTGTTATAGATTGTGAGCATGAACAAGAGTCAACCAATCTACAACTTGCCCTCCCCCTCAGATCCCACAAGCACCCAATCAGTTTTAATAACAAACTTACCTAAAAAATCAATGTAATAATACTCAACACTAAAAGGAAAGAGAAGCTAATGTCGTCCACTATGTGGTAATGTAGATAATATGTTGAAAAAATTGCTATGTGATGAGGGTGTTAAAGAACAAAATCTTACTAACAACAATATCAAGGAGTATATGAATTGCCACGCTGCTTTAAATTCAATGTAACAATACTCACACATAAAGGAAGTGAAGCTAATGTCATTCACTACGTGGTAATGTAGATAATGTGTTAAAATATGTGCTATTTTATGAGAGTGTTATAGAAAGAAAAAAAAATCTTACTAACCAGAATATCAAGGAGTATTTGAATTACGACGTTGCTTTTCAATTTCTTGCTTTTGTTTCTCGACAACCTTATCCAAAGCAGCTTGCACAGCATCATGACCTCCAATAAGCAATCTGGTGATGACTTCTGGATCTCTTTCGAATCGTGCCTCCTCAAACTCCTTTCGGGCATTTTCTCTGAGAACATCCCGCCAAAGGATGCCTTGAGAGTTGGGCCACATGAAGAACCGGGTGCCCCGGAGGATGTCTCGGTAGAGACTTAGAGCCTCGCGACGAGAACTAGTGAGTCGCTGTCTAGTTAGGCGCTCATTCTCGTCATCATCTAGGCTCTTCTCCTTTTTTACCACGTGTCTATCCAATAGTTCCTCCACAGTGTCTGGACCATGGTGCAAGAGGCGATAATGATGCAAGAGCAATCTTGACTCGAGACAGTGATTCATAGAGATTGCTAGTGTTCGGAATTTTTGGACATTAGCAGCCATCTTTCACCTTGGTGACTTAGCTGGTAGGGTCAGAGAAACAAGAGTTTTAGAGCAAGCATATTTTATCAAAATGTCATACATTTCGCAAGATAAAAGCCAGTAGAATAAAGTGAAGTGAAAGAAATCAAACAAGTGAATCTCACTTTTCTTAAGAACGTTACAGACGTCCATACAGTTGGAACAATATTGTTTTTCTTAAGGAAAGCGATGAAACACAACAACCACAAGACCATTAAAGACAGAACCACATAGGTCAGATGTATTGCTGAGAAAAGCTGCATAATTAGCATTTTTTCTTTTTTGCTACGTTGCTAAACAACAAAAGCCAAAAGGACAGAAATAAAGTAAAACAAGTAGTGCATCTCTCGTGCTATGAGAGGTAATACATGACGGAAAAGCTCCAATGGACTCTCAAGACCTATGACCTTAAGTAGCTGCAACCACAATGATATGCTGGCATGAATGTTACAAAATCAACTCCAATCATAGAACCATAGAATAAAAAAGAACTTAGCATTTTCCAGTGAAACGTGAGAAATAGGGTTAAAGATAGAGCGAAACCAAGAGAAATCATTTCTCTTTTTTCATTTGGCCATGTAGGGAAAGAGCTCCAGCTGGGAGAATGGGAAAATTACAGAAGAATCTGTGAAATAAGATCCATTTTGCCTGTTCCATTCAGTTTGTTCAAAGTTCAAGATTCAAAAGAGCTAACAATAGGTTTCCAAGCAAATATATAACCAAACACCACAGAACAAAGAAAATTGGTGGCAAAAAAGAAAATTAGTCACACTGTAAAAGAAAAAGAAAATTACAATAGAGTAACACATAATAAAGCAATTTATTATACCCTGTCATCTTTTCAAACAGTTGAATTGGTATAAGCCAGTTTGGCGTATAGCTGAGCACAAATAAGTGAATAAGGAAAAAATGTAATCAACATCTGTGTTGAACTGAACAATGTATTAGCATAACAAAGTATACAATTATACATATAAAACTCGACATTTCATAGTGTGCCAATACTAGTTTCGTGTTATATCCAAAAGAGAAAAATGAGCAACAAAAACAACAGCTTACTGGCTACTTAATCATATTATGAACAATTTAGGTTCCAAGGCAAAATCAACTCAAAGTTAGCACTTTTAATATTTGCCCTTGCCCTTATTGACTAAGGGTGTAATTCATTAGAGATTAATTCTAATTAGTTCAGATCAAATGAATGCCTCGTGTTGGACACGTGGATTAAAATTTAACCCAACATCGAAATAAGAACAAGTAAGAATTGAGACCGACCTTTAATAGGAACCTGCTACAGTATTGAATAAGGGGGTTTCTAATTGACACCGGAGCTCTGAACGGCGACGGAAAAATTGAACGGAAATCTCAAGCTCTTCAATCCTCAATCACCTCCGTTTGAGGTATATAGATATGGGTGTGTTTGTGAATCTAGTGGTTGAAATGGAGGAGTCCTTTTGTCAAACAGGTGGTAGCTCGGGATTTTGAGAATGAGCTTATTGGGTTTTTTATTTCGTAAGACAGAGATCCGAGATCAGAAGGGGAAGCCATTGATGGGTCGGGTAAAAGAGTGGGTTTTTATTGGAGCCACGTGTCCATCAAATTTGAAAGGGGTGTGTGTGTTCAATATAGCTTTTAATTATTTAATTAATATAGTTGATAATAGGCGAAATGCATAAACAGCCTCTCCAAGTTGTCCACAAGATCAGTTGAACACCTCAACTGAGACCTTTTTCACTTAAACATATCACGTGATTAAAAACTCAACTCAATAAACACTCGACCTCACCAGGCCCCGTCGATTGTGTTACACTTGCCCTATTTTTTCACCCTCCCCCACATACTTTCCATCAATAAAGTGACCTTCATGATGAAAAACAACACCAATATATTCGTCCATGTGACTCGGTACTGAAAATGACAAAACAAAACCAGTCAATATTTCCTGACATTTTCAATTTTCCAGAACAAAAAAAACCCTAATCTAATAGCACATAACAGACATATAGCGATAAAATAGAAAAAAGCATGATATAAACATACCTTTATGCAATAATCGAAGCCACTTTACAACTGACTCCCCTTTTCACAAAAAATCCCTTGTCAAAACCCTAGGATGACCTTCTTTCATGTGATAAATCTTGAACCAAGCTACAATTCGAATAAAGAACAACTAATCATACTTAGTAAGTGAAAGAAATGTTTAATTTTGCAACAAAAATGTCGATTGAACCAAGCTTAATCGAAGAGATGAAGATGGGTTATTCAATGATAGAGAGAGAGATTAGATGGAAGAAACGATGAAAATTTACCTTTATGTTTTATGTTTTTAATTCTTTATTTCTTATTGTTTGTCCACGTGTCAGCTTCTAATTCGTTCTTATAAAAGACACCGGAGGTGTAATACATGCGACGGGGGCTGGTGAGGTCAGGTGTTTATTGAGTTGATATATTTAAGTGAAAAAGGTCTCAGTTGAGGTGTTCAACTGACCGTTATGAACAACTTGAAGGTGATGTTTATGTATTTCGCCTTGATAATACTACACTAATTTGTGATTATATAGTTAAATTGTTTAATTTAGTTTAACATAAGGTGTAAATAAGTATTTTCTGAAAGATGACAACACCTTAATTTTTAAGGCACAACCGCATAAGTACATTCAGGTATGGTTGGAATAGTAAGATGTTAGTTTAATTTCCATTGACTTACCATTCTCCCAATTTCTTGAATTCGCTACGTACATAAAAGATTTTATAAGAAAATTCTTAACCTAGCTCGATAATTAAATTGTGACACACTTAATAATAAAATTTAGTTCGATATTGTAGTATATGATGCATATATCAAGCTAAAGACATTGGATGTAAGGCCGATTCGGACCAATCAATCTATTCACTAAGTATTTACATGAGAAATTTCATTAGAGCTTTAAAATGTTTACATGTAATTCAATACGATCAATCAATAAATTCGTAACAATAAGAATCATCATGTTTGGACAAACCAAGGAGGGGACCAAAAACACCATCAACCCAACGTTTTAGACATTGAACGATGTTTTCGTTAACAAACTCGAAGAACCCTTCACATGGAACGTTTTCCCTCGAATCGTCGTCTTCTTCTTCTTCATGTTTAGGGTTTTGCAACTCCCAATATACTCTAACGCCATTACTAAACCTTGGTTCTTTGATTTTCACATAACGTTGTTTTAACAATTTAGACCTTGACAAAGGTGGCTGCAAATCCTTCAATGATGTTAGCTTCACTGGTTCATTGCTAGACATCTTCTTCGTAAAAGATAATCAAAATTCTTTTATCAAACAATTGATGCAATGTAAATTTAAGTGGATTACAACTTAAATGCATATTTTATAACACTATTTTATAACCTAAGTGATCTCATTATTGGATATGCCCCCAAAGCCTACTTAATCATCTACATGGATTGGGACGATCTTGAAGTATTCTAACTTTATTTTAGTAGGGATAAGATAAAGTTTGAAAGGCATTGTACGTACAGTCAAAATATTTCCTAGTTTGACAATTATTGGGAAGTTTTTTAAATAAAATTTTCACAAAACTTAAAAGGGCTTTGTGAAAATTTTCGTTTTTTTTTTGGAAAAGCACCTCAATCCACTTTTCAAGAAACTTTTTTTTTTTTGGTTAAAAGAGATTAAATAAATTAATTAAAAAAAACAAGCACTTAGTTGCAATGCAAATAAACCTAGACACAAAAATAAACACTAATAAATTACTTCAATGTATGAAATCCAAATATCTACTTTCTTAATATTGAGTTTGAACACAAATACTCCAAGTTTTTTTTTTTTACATAAATTTTATATATTTTGAAAATTATAAAATACGAATACCAAATATAAGCTATAATAATTAATAATCAAAATATTAGAAAATTATTTGAACAGAGTGTGATGGAAGAAATATCTCTTTGACTTTCTTACCAGTGATAATGTCACATAAAATGAGGCTATTTAAAAAAAGTATATATAGTATAATAAATCGAACACATATTGCATTTGGTAAATTTAAAATAAAATTAGGGCTACAAAAGCAACAAAATCCCAAAAAGAAAAAGAAAAAAAGAAAAAACGACACATAAAAGAAGGTTAATAACAGTAAGCAGCAAATTATTGAGAACAGCTGAATCCATCAGCAAAGTGTAAGCTATGGCCGTCACGAAATCCCTGTTACGTTTGAATATCTCTCGCAATTTTCTCAGTCCATTCTCTTCTCAGAGCAAATTCAAAACCTACACCTCTGCTTCCACCTCAGAGCTCGCCGCCGCCGACATTGACATCGACGACGGCGCCGTCGAAAACGGCGAACCCACCTGCCCAACTGAGCTATTATCAACAGAAGAAGCTGAAATAGCTGAAAAGATTCATTCTTTAATCAAAGACCATCACCGCAAAAACCCTGCACCCACCCCCACCTTAAACCCTAACGTCACTTTCCCTACTCTCTCCTTCGACTTCTCTACAACCTTCGATAACCGCCCCATTTCTCCGCGGGTCGTAAACCGGGTCATTGAAAAATGCGGGTCAGTTCGCCACGGCATCCCATTTTCACAGGCTTTAGCTTTCTTCAACTGGGCTGCTGCGCGTGACGCGCGTGGATATTTCCTAAACCCTGAGCCTTACAACGAAATGATCGATCTTTCTGGTAAAGTGCGCCAATTTGATGTTGCTTGGCATTTGATAGATTTAATGAAACTGAAAAATGTGAAAATTCCCATTGAAACTTTTTCGATTTTGATTCGTCGTTATGTTCGGGCCGGGCTTGCTTCTGAAGCTGTTCATACGTTTAATAGAATGGAGGATTATGATTGTAAGCCCGATAGGAATGCATTTTCTATAGTTATAGGGATACTGTGTAAGAAAAGAAGGGCACTAGAAGCACAATCTTTTTTTGATAGCTTGAAGGATAAATTTGAGGCTGATGTGGTATTGTACACTAGCTTGGTTCATGGTTGGTGTCGGGCGGGTAATATATCCGAGGCAGAGAGGGTTTTTCACGAAATGAAGGAGGCAGGGGTGCAGCCTAATGTGTATACTTATAGTATTGTGATTGATGCATTGTGTAGGGGTGGGCAAATTACTCGAGCGTATGATGTTTTCTCGGAGATGATTGATTCGGGTTGTCAACCTAATGCGATTACATTTAATAACCTTATGCGCGTCCATGTGAAGGCAGGGAGGACGGAGAAGGTGCTCCAGGTTTATAATCAGATGAAGAGGCTATCATGTTCCCCTGATGTTATCACGTATAATTTCTTGATTGATGCTCATTGTAGGGATGAGAATCGCGATGAAGCTCTTAAGGTGGTTAACATTATGGTTAAGAAAGGATGTGAAGCAAATGCTTCTACCTTTAACCCTATTTTTAGGTGCATTGCTAAGGCTCGTGATGTGAATGCTGCTCATCGATTGTATGCAAAGATGAAGGAGTTGAAGTGTAAGCCTAATACAGTAACGTACAATATATTGATGAAAATGTTTGCGGATTCGAAATCTACTGACATGGTAATCAAACTTTGGAAAGAAATGGATGAGAATGAAGTGGAGCCTAATGTGAACACTTTCAAGATTTTGATTTCCATGTACTGTGGGATGGGACATTGGAATAATGCTTACAAATATTTTAAAGAGATGATCGAGGACAAGTGCTTGAGACCAAGTGAGTCGGTTTATGACATGGTTCTAAAACAACTAAGGAAGTCGGGGCAACTAAGGAAGCACGAAGAATTGGTGGAAAAGATGATCGATAGGGGATTTGCTACTCGTTCTGTGTAAAGGGTCGCCAAGTTTGTTTGGATAGCTTATGGAGTTATGTCTTCAGCTGGACTGTGGAATCTCAGGAGCTCCGAGCACTGATGTTAAAAACTCGGTCTTGTTGGCCATACAAAGGCTGGAGTTGCAGCCATATTGATCTTGCATTTGAAACTTACTAGTGATGGAACATTTCGAGCTTACTGGCAAATTCATTTCCTTAAGAAAGTGAAAGGTAAGGATCCTTTTCTTTTGCTGAATGATAATTTAACGAGAAATGTTATGCCGCTGTTGCTCTCGGATAATCAGACTAAAGGCATTAAAGAGTATTTGATCTTGTAGTATAGGCATTAACACATATCGAAAAGTTTTCCTTTCAATCTGGAGTACATTGTACAGAATTTTGATTTGTTTTCTATATAAACATGTCCAAGTGTGACAAGATGTTTTGCTACCATGTCTCGATAGAAAGTCTTGTCATATTGTCATGCTTGAATAAGGAGCTTTGTCCAAAGAAAAGGTAAGAAGATCCATAATCAATTTATTGCAAATACAGTTGTATCGTGAAGGAGCCTTGGCGTAACTGGTAAGGTTGCTACCATGTGACCAGGGGGTCACGCAGGGGTGAAGCTAGGAATTTCATTTAGGGTGTTCAAACTTGAAATAAGTAAAAAAAATCCTCGATAAAGGGTGTTCAATATATGTTATATACCATCAA